GAGGAAATACATAAAATATTGCAGCGAGTGCGGGATATCGAGGGTCCCTCGGTTACCGGGCAGGCCGCGTTAACTGTTTCACATTTGTTAAGTAAGCATATCATATCCAACTGGAAATAAACTTTCCTACATATTTTATTTTATTTTTACCTTATCTTCTTTTTTTCATTTCCATTCCAAATGGATCGCTTTTTTGTTTAGTGGAAATCGCCTTTTATGCTATTTGCTATAAGGATTTTTGACAATAAATATGGAAAGAGAGAAGAATACACTACGGGCATATGCGCACCATTTTGTTATGTTCCCATGTATCATTTGACATAAACCTAATTAGTGTCAATACAGTTTGTAAACCTAATTTTAAATACTAAACACGCGTGTTACGAATACCCCTAATGAAGTTAACATGATAATCGAGCTGCGTGCTCCCTAAACTATACTTAATTATTAAACAAACAGCATTTTGCGCTGTTGCTCAACATCCAGTCTTGCATTTGCTCGCAGCATCAGTTCCGCAACACGTGGCCGTGTCGCGCGTCACGCGGGTGATTCATGTCACGTGACACGCGGACGAACCATGTCACGCGAGCCGCAGATGAGTCGCGTCACGTTCGAAACTAAATTACTCACGCATAGGTATAGTAATTGCAGGCGCAGAGCCTCATTCGTATTCGGGAAGCATTTTAAATCGAGGCTCGGGTCAGCTTTGTTGTGATTTTTATCGCTGTTAAAAAACAATCCCTTTTTGAAATACACCTATAAAGTGTTCGTTCTTGTCCAAGGACATCATCCGTAAAGCTCATTATACGATATAGTTGGTATCTAGCCTTTTTAAATGATCTCCAATCTACGTCTTCATCTTCTAAAATTGACGTTATATTAAAAATATTTTGCACGAGTTTACCTATTTTACACAAATGCAATAACATCTAAAATATTTCAAATTAAATTAATTTGTCCGTTGAAAGTGTTTCAAATGCCTATTTCGAATACAAAATGAGTACAGTAATAGAGGCGTGAAATAGTAACACTCGTAATCCTGCTACGGAGTGAGCAGAGCAATAATAAACTAACAAATAATATAAACCCGCTGAAATCCTCTCGCGTTGATAACTTGTTAACATTTCAGCTTCCATTCCCTCATTATAATTAACATCTTAATGCGACATCAATTAATTTTAATTAGCAACTCGACGAGAGATAAAAAAAACAACAATTCAGCGAAATAGGTCCTCTAAATGAGGACGGCTTTTACTAACCATGAATCTTTATAAAAAAAAAACAAGCGAGACTCGAAATTTATCCTTGCAGATAATGAGGCTTTAGTTTATTTTATTTTAGGCTCCGCTCGACTTTGACCTTAGTTATTTCTTTTACTTTTTCTATAACTGGAAGTGGAACAAATTTTACTTTTAGACATTTAATTTTGAATAGGTCAAATAATTAAGGGTTTTTGAGACTCGGAAAATAAAGATAAATTGATTTAAATTACGAATACCTGGTGCGCCAACCCTATGTAAATGGGACAAGGACAGTGAGATGATGATGATATATTTGGTATACCAATGATAAAGTGTAAGAATAGTTATTAGGGTTGCCAATTTTTAAATTTCTTTTAGGTCATTTCAAAAGTTAAATCTAAATAAACATTCACCGTAACAGCTGTCAGTTTTGGATTATTTTGCTTTAAGAGAACAAAGTGTAGCAAAAGTTTTGAAGTTGAATCAAGCGATACCTTAATGGAGAGGCAGCGTTTTGTAAGGGTTGATGGTATCGAGTTTATGAAAACTTTCACTTATTTTAAGTGTCTTGTCTACATTTAGAGCAGGTTTAACTTTGTTAGTTCTATTGTAGTATCTAAAAGCGTTTGAAACTTTTGAAGGTTGAATTAATTAATAATTGACATTTAACTATAGTCTTTATAACATTCAGCATTCGTTAGAAACTACTTTTGTAGTGTCAAAAAACTAAATATTCTTTATAATCTGTGCCCTCATCAGGTATGACTTTTTTACTAGCTTTTAAATATTTTTCGCCAATTGATTCAACAATCTTACTAATATAAGAAATGTAAATGTTTTGTAGGTATCTCGCTGTATGGATCTCTCTGAAATTTGACATAGATGTTAAACATAGTTCGGAAAAATACATAGGCAATTAAGTTTTTTAATTCCGCGTGGCCGGGGTCGCGGGCGACAGCTAGTATATCATATTTATAACACGTTAAATAGCTCATGACTATTGTAAGCTAATAATATATAGTAGAACACTGAATATAGAATGTACACTTGTACATAACAATGAGCCCCGCTTTGGCCGCCAACTGGCCTGGCCGCAGTAAATCATTGCGCCTGTTGCAGCGCCGCCAAGCGGGCGCGACCTGCAACTAACATAGCCAATTAATTGACTAAACTCTAAAGCTATTTAGTTATTAACTCTTCGTAATTACTGTACCAGTTGGCTTAATGTATTAGGTTAATTTTATTCGATTAATATTACTAATGTTATAAATGCAAATATTTGGATGGATGTTTGTTACTACGTATCTCCAGAACAGCTCAATGTGTCTCGCTGAAATTTGGTATAAATGTAGAACAGAGTATGTAAGAACACATGAGCTGGGGGCAACAGCTACTTTAAAATATACGGAATTTGTAATATATTACTAAATGTATGAATATTAATGTTTTATAATATTTTATTATTAATTTTAACAAGATAAGTGTACGTTTTTTTTCGTTTTTATTTATAATATTGAGAGATATAAGAGAATTTCATAAACCCATCTATTCAGAAAATGGAAAGCATTAAGAATACACAACGAGCCATTTATCGTTTTTACGTTCCCCAACAAGTAAATACACTTGAATATAATACTATTACATTTTGTACGCAAACATCTTTAGACAGAATAAAAATAAGTTCACAAAGAAAGGAGACTCGCGTAAACAAGTAAAGTGAACCTCTGTCCTTTCTTTCTGAACCTTTGCTTTTAAATTAAGATTTTCCTTTGACGTTGCTGTTAGCTACCGAACGAGGGAAATAATGTTTTCTTAATTTATTGAAACAGTACTTTGACACAAGCGGTTGGCGGATAAATAGTTATTTTCACAATTAATAGTATATATGTGTTAAGAATTGAATTTGTCTAGTTAATTAAGACATATTGATGTCGTGGATTCTTGAACTTTAGCAACACAACACTATACATTGTGTATAGTAGTATACTAGCTGTCGCCCGCGACTCCGTCCGCGCGGAATTAGAATTAAACTTAATAAGTAGCCTGTGTGTTCTTCCAGACTGTTTAATACATCTGTGCCAAATTTCATAAAAATAGTTGAGCCGTTTCGGAGATACATTTAAACAGACATCCTTCCATCCATTTAAACATTTGCATTTATAATATTAGTAAGAAGTAAGATTGATACAGCTGGGATTGAGTTAGACCTTGTTCCCGAATAAATTCATTAGTTATTGTTAAAATATTATTTTAGTAATGCAAGTGTACATAACATTTATTTACCTAAACTAAAATGTCTGAACCTAAAAGTTTTTTTTAAACCTCGCTTATCGTTTTCAACATGCGTCACAATATTCGTCAAGTAAACTCAACTAGACAGTCTCTTATTGCGCGGTAAAAGCTAATGGTGGCCTTCAGTATGATATTGTTTTAAGGCTCGGCAGTTACAGTGGCGTTATTATGTGCTATGTACGATAGCGACGAATAAAAACGGGGCCGACGGATAGACGAACGATTTAAGAGTTCTGTTGTGATGTTTTTATGTAGCGAATTTTTAGTTTGTGTTTCACGATCACTTTATACATATGAATAAGAAAGATGTTTAACATTCAAACCAGTTTAGAAATGTCTAAAATGAATAACATAATTTCCGATGACTTTATGCATCCTACGTTCTTTATTTCTTTCTTTATTGAATACTAGCAGTTGTCCGCAACTTCGTCTGCGCTAATTATATAATAGTAGTGATATTTTTCTCTCTGTCCTAACTTCTGTCTACCTCTCATTGGTTATTTGCTGTTTTAAACGTTGTTCTCAAAGCTAATTCAGTACTCCGCACACTCCTTCATTCAAAGAACTAATTTGGATTCGGTTTAGCGAACAAAAATCCTTTGTCAAGGTATACGACCCGACGTCTAAATTAATTTAAATTAAACTTTAAAATCAATTTATTAACGCTTCGAAGTTTTATTAAATTTTACTCGCTTCAATTATAATTTCCAACTCTGTTGACTAACAAACTCGAAGTTGGCTCATAATTATTTGTGTAAGGCGAAGAAAAACTTTTCCATTCTTTTTATAAAACGCCATGTGTTCGATAGCGTTGGGAATAATTAAACAACTTTAACAATGTATATTTTTCTAACTATAACATTAAACAATTATAAAGGCACGTGTACACGGTCGCGACTTTTCGTAAAATAACACTCCGAGAAAACGCGCTAAATTTAAACTATAAATGTTCATTCAATATAACTGCATACTACTATGAGTAGTGCTGATGTAAAACGTACTTCTTGAAATAACTCGGGACATGTCAAGCTATGTATATAGCGCCAATGATGTTGCGTTATATAATAAGTTAATTACAATAATAATGATACTCAAGTTTGAATGCAAAAGGCGTTTTATCTCGAAATAATCCCATTGTTTGATTTATACCATCCTGGTAATCTGCATTCTTTTATATTGTTTTTTTCTGACTCAAGTATTTTCTCATTTTTTCCTCCCTTATGCTGTCGTATTTAAATTAAGATATATTTATATCTTGACATTTTTAAAACATTTTGTAATGATGAATTTTCAAGTTCTCTGAATTGTTTGTAAAGGGGAAGATCAGACTGTTTATGGAATTTTATTTGTTAATAATTTTAAGTATTCTATGATCTTAATAATCTAACTTAATTACATTTTTATTTACGGCTAAATCTTTGTTTTTTTTTTATATTTTTAATAATTTAACGTGTTCTCTTGTTTCAGAAGCCGATTACACACTGGATGATTCATTTTGGAATGAAGAGAGCCCAGTTGGTAAGTATGTTTTTTAAATAGTTGTTAACTTTTTAATCCCTTATTTATATTATATTAACTATAATTAATTTACCCTAAAGCTTGAAGTTAATCGTTATTTATTTTTCAATATTTTTGCTGTTCGTAATTTTATACATTTTGTTGCTGAATTAGGAAATTGTTTTTATATCATACTGACTGTATAAAACGAGTACGGAACACGAAATAAAAATATACATAATATTTATGACAAAAAATATATTTACGACTACACCCATCATGGGTATTGCGAAAAGAAAACATAAAGAAGAAAGATGTAATCATTTGGAACACATAATGTAAAGTACGACCTCCTAATATCGTTGCAAAATAAGTTGCTATAATAATTATTCAAGTAGTGATACTTACTATTTCTTGCTAATTTGGTAAGAATCCATTGTCCTAATAGTTGTCTGTTTCTTTAAAAAGAACTGGTCAAGTACGAGGGTGACACGCGCCCCAAGAGTTCCGAAAAAGGGTCTTGTCAGACAGACGGACGGACATCAAAGTGATCCTATAAGTATTCCGTTTTTTTCCTATGAGGTACGGAACTCTAACTAAATAAATATAAAAGCATTAAATTCTTTAAACAAATAATAAAATTTCATCTAAAAAAAAGTAATTTGAAACCCCTCTTACTTTTTAATTCAGCGACCGTAGAAACTCGTAAACCAGAAAAAGAGGTTTTAAAGCGTGCAGCGAGATATAAAAACGGTTTCTTCCAGGACATCCTTTCGCATATATCTTCCAGGAGTCCCGGACAAACCGGGAAGTGGAGCAATAACCATTCCCCACTCAAATGTTAATACTTCTTGATGTTTATGAATTTGAGGTGACTTTTCGACACTTTTTATGTACAAACATAAAACGTCTTCGCATCGTTAAACGTCCCGTCTCTTTGAAAATTACTCTCTTTGAGGAAAATATGAAATTTACTTTAATAGCTTTCTATTTCAAAACTATGTTATAAAGGCTTTAAGAAAACTTTTAAAATGCAATTTAGTTTTTTAGCAAAACAAAATATGCAAGTAAGAGAAGATTAAGACGTTTTACTTAACAATAGTACTAACAAGACAACGATGTGGCTTAAATTAATTTAAATTAAGAGGGAAACATGATATTTAAAATGTAATTGATACAAATTATTTACCGTTGGTTTCTGAGACCAAATATCTGTTTAAAAATATTCTCATCTGTTCTATTAAAGATTTTCGTCTTAGAAGTTCGCGGTTAGAAATGCACTTTATAGCTAAAGTATCTTATAACTTGATTTGCTATAAAAAAAGCATCTAATTAACTTTCAAACGCGCTTTTAATAAACATTTTATTAGTTATTACCATAGAAAACTTGTCTATACAAATTGACAAACAACACAGGACAGCTCCATCTACCGGTAAACATAAAAGCTTTCCTGTTAACTTTCAGTCGCTAGTTTAGAGTGTACAGAGTTTGTTAGCGAGTGACCGAACTCGAGCGAGTTAGAAATTGGAACTATTTTGTGAAATTCAATTCTCATACTCGTCGCTCGTTGCCCCGGCCTCATAAATATAGTCGAAATTTGTTTGTACTACCTGCTGAATTTATTTGTTTCTACATATAACCTTTTGGTAGGATAAGTTTTGGCAGATTTTTATATCAGAGACATGTCCGACTTTCTAAATTATGTTTAACCAATATAACTCTAAAATTCATGTACAAAGATGTACGAATTACATACAAAGAAATATGTATGTAAATTGTTTCATATCAAAAAGTATGTTTTTAATTTATTTTATCTACTACTAATACGAATTATGGCAAGTTACTAATTAAAACGTAAGCAGATTATCGTCAGATTTAACAACTATAAATCAATAATAAAATACAAAATAAATCCTAACGTAATCTTACCTTCCAATAAATCAAATTACACGAAAGTAAGGAATCGTGTAAACTTGTTTCGAATAAACAACGAGGTGTGTATTCTGTAAAGCTGGTGAGATTGGAAATCGATTAGGAGACGAGGCACGTCCCGGGAACGCGGTCACAAGGCACGACTTTGAATTTACATGTGTGTTGCATTGACATGCAAATGATTGCGAGACATACATCGGCCGTTCTAAACGATATCGTACACGGCAATTTTATGTTTACAGAATAGACGACTTTAACAAAATCAATTTAGCTTTGCATACATTTTGTAGTTTTTTTTTTTAATTATGTATAACAATTTGTAAAAACTGGATTACATTTTTTAAGACTATAAACTATAAACATTTTAATTTTTTTGCGTATGTCCATTCTAATGTGGCCTATAAAGTACACACAGTAAGACTTATTTTTGATGAATGAGGTAATTTCAAAGTTGCATATTTCGATGTTTTATACGAGTACAGTCAGACCGGTTTATGGATTTCGTTAATATTTTTTTTTACATATTTCGATGCGAAAAATATATTTTTGGCAACAACACAATTTACAACATTAGGTGTAAACTAAAATAAATTAAAAAATAATATTTAAAAATATAAAATTTTAATATTATTACAATTCAATGTTAAAAATTACAGTCTAAATTAGATCATACTACGCAATCACCAATTAATATTACAATGAATTTGTAAAACTATAGACTGAGAACAAACTCCGGCGAGTCTATTCAAATGGGCTTTGCTTTGATTTGAGTTTGAAAGGAAAATAGGTTAGGCTTAGCTAGGAGCGACCGCAGCGTGTGCGGGGCGCGGGGGGGTCAACGTTTACCGGCAACCATTGTAGGGCAGACGTATTCTATTGAAGAGAAAAAATATCTGAATCAGTATGTAACTAATGAATTATAAAAATCCCTTCACTGTTCGTTATTCTTTATAATCTTTATTTTATTTTATACTAAGAGCATTCATGCGCTGCGAAGACTGGCAGCTTTGCTCAGCTATTTGTAAAAAAAATGTATGATATTTGGCAGATTGGATTAATATTTTTTCATAGCATTGTTAAGATATAAATATCTGAGGTTATTTATTATTTTTAATAAAAATGTCGCAACATAATCATTAACTTTTAAAACTCCTTATGAATATTGAGTTCATACAAAGTTCCCTGCCTTCCATGTACGGAACATTTCTACTTATTATTCGTGACGTCATAAATATGAAATTGCCACATTCGGTCTCAGACATTAAAATGTAGGATGTCGAGAGTACAGTCACACTCGTAAACGTCGAAAACGTCACGCATGCTCGCCAACTTTGACTACAGTGAAACGGACTAGGCAAAAGTGCCTTTGCTTACTAAATAAATCCTAGCACTTTTCACGGTTAGCTTGGTAAAGATGACAATCACATTTACTGTCACTTACGTAACATTGAAACGACTTTATTAACGCTGTTGACTCATAAACTTACACAAATCGAGCACGCAGGCAAATGTCGAATTTATTTGTATTTGACAGAGAGGAATGCGCTCGCTTGACAGGTCCTGTCTCTTAAATGACAAATGCGTCGCACGGCTGAGTGCGCGGACTACGCGATGAAGAGGCGGGAGAGGGTGGTCGCTAACCCGAACAAATTATTGTCGCTGACTGTACCGAGTGGAACGTATCATTATGGAAATTCGACGTACGTCTTTTCATGTAGATTTTATTCAGCAAATAATATTGCTATTTTTGTAATAAATAGATTAATAAATTAACATATACGCACTTTTGTTATTAATAAGTTCCATCAGTTACAATCATTGATTTCAAAATAGTTAATTGCTGTTTTTGAGTTTTCATTCCATTCATTAGCCTTAAATCTCCTGAAAAAAACTGGATTAAATATTTTGTGTAGTAAAAAGTTGAAAACAATTTTATTCGCAATCTAAAACACGTTTTTCCACAACGATGCAGGTATTTGCGTCATCGTATAGGCACACCTTGACGACCTCTCTCGGGCCGGATGCTGCACAAAGCGCTGAGCGCTCCTTGACCATTCACTTTGTTCCGACCTAAAAGCAATCCAGCGCTGCAGCGCTTTAGACCCTCCATAAAGCGCTCACTGTGTATAGAATGCGGACATTTTATACTTTATCCTTGAACCTTTATTACAATGAAAAGTTTTATGTCGAAATTCAACTCTGTACAGTAATGTACTGATTAAATTTTCTATAAGTTAACTGAAACGCTCTATTTATAATCTGTCTTATGTTACTGACCTCATAATAACATATGCGTTTCAGTGTAATTTACAAGTCTTTGAACAAGTTCTTGCTAAGTCTTGCAAAGTAAGTAATACTTTCCTGAAGTCAATCTTTTATTTTATTACATAACTAGGGGTCGCCTACAACTACCATAGGTCCCAAAAAAAACAATTGCTTTAACGTTTTTCCAGAATATGTTCTACATATTCCAGCGAGATCCATGCAGCCGTTGGTGAGATACCTTCTAACAAACATCCATCCAGATTCGCATTTATAATATTAGTAAGAATCTAATATACTTACCTGTAAATTCCAATTAAAGATTTGTAATCCGGATCGCTATCTCTCATAACCTCAGGATTAAATGATCGTAAATGTTTCCCTTACAATAGACATTTTATTACGAACCCAAAACTCGAGATACTTTTGTGTTTTACTTTTTTATGATTAAGACTCGACGGGACCTCGTCGACTTCGCAGAACAACTTTAATATCACAGTATTAAAAATTTTTTCGACATCATCGTAGTCTTTTAAATATGACTCTAGACTCTTAGAGGTCGCTTCAAAAGTTAATTAGGTGAAATTCACGAACTTTCATGATTGCTTAGGATCTTTCACTGAAGCTTGAATATTTGAATTTTATAAAAAAAAATGGTTGTGAGTTTTATTGAATTTCCAATCATTTCAAAGTGAATTTATAAGGTTGTTCGTTAGTATCTCCCAATAGACGGCTTCGGAGTGATTGGTTTTCACTTTTTAAATAAAATATAATACAAAATAATATTGCTATTATTTTCTTTTACATTATAGAGACTTGGGTGTCG